TCTAGCATATTCAATGATTGTCTACATTAAAAAAATTGCCAAAAATGTTGATTCAGAAGAAATAACAAAGGATTTCAATTCTATTAAGGATCAAAGGGCACAACTTGAATAAGTACTTTTTCTTCTTTTTATTTGTTAAGTTGAATAAGATTTATGATATATGTTTTCTCTTTATTGCAAATTGCAACTTTAAATGTTTTTTTTGTTAAATTTAGTTGAAGCTTGATGATATATGTTTTCTCTTTAGTATACAACTTTATGTAGGTAACAAAAATAAAATTTAAACATTTGATTTCGCAATAATAAGTTTAGCTTAGCCCATCCACCAAATAATTCATGGCTCTGCTATTGTGTCCAATCACGGTTAAGGATTGAAATTTTGACAACATAATATAACATGTCATGTAACCAATAAGAGAATATTTTATAATATTGCTTTTGTTATGTATTGTAATTGCGTGCATCACAAGATATAGCATATTTGATATATTGTCTTGACATGCATATGTGTGAGCATAATTTAAGCACACGTCATGTGAGTATGTGACATCTTATAGTTTCTATCCTTGTCTTGTTTTACATCATCAACGTGGAAATTTGGGGATCGCGCGAAAAGTATCATCAACGACGACGAAGTTTCAGAAAAAAAATGTATTACAAATGGTGTCCTGAAAAAAAATTGAGGTATCATCGACATAGAAATTTTGGAGATTAACAAAGAAAAGTAATATCTAGGAAAGAATAATGTTAGACGAGCCAACTTTTTAGGTTACATTTGCAAATCATGTGATATGTCATCAATAGGAAATAAATACATTAATCAATACTTAATTAATAATTCAATCATTAACAACCACGTTATATGATTTACAAAATATAGATTAAGTGGATAATTTCTCTAGTATTTTTTTGATTGTCGGCCAATATACCATCTCATTTAACCAAATGCGACGTTCTCCTAATCTTTCTACAATGGATTTTGTGAAATCCCTTGTATATACGAAACGAGCTACTTGTTATAACACTGTTTTGATACTAGTGTGAGTTTAACAGCTGTGAGAATCATATTATTATTAAACTCAAACTTTTCAACCTATTATAACAACCTAAGAGATATGTAGTTTACAATTACAAAGTTGCACTTAACAAAATCATTTGCTTGTCCCATCCTCTCTTTTGTTTTGCCTAGCTAGTAGCTAACTTTTGGTGTCAAAATTTTGGCTGCTTTTCGTGCTTTTGTGTGAATATTTTGTTGTGTGTATATTCTCATTTCAAAAGAAAGATGTATTTGCAAAGCAACTCTGGGTTTGGGATTCAAGTACTTGTGGTGATATGGCTTCTGATGTAGACTCTCTATCCTTCGATTCTCTGACATGTATTTGTACATTTATTCTTAGTTGGGGCTTCCTTGTCACATTATTCGTTCATCTAAGGCTACACAAGAGTCGTGCATTGTAGTAGCTCCACGAAAATGGACGTGTGTGAGAGACTTGAATGCATGAGGCTCTCTTGTTTGTGTTTTGGACAAATGAGTGTGACACTGTGACGTAGTACGAAAGCCCATACTCAAGAATATCACCAACAATTTGGCCTCATCTTTATACAACAAAGGAAAATAATAAGATCAATTGCTTAAAATTTTGAGCTGATTCTGACAATTCTTACTTGCAGAACTTCCAAAGAATGAGCGCTCAGAATTAGTTTTGTTTTACAAGTTTCATTTTTGTGATTAATAGTTTTCTGTGGTTCGTTGTACTTAAGAACTGCGGTTATATGGCAAGGAACTACGACCAAATAAAAAAAAAAACTACGACCAAATATACATAGTATTAGTTCGTATTTAATACATTTACAAAATTTATGATTCGTTCTACATTTACAAGTAAATCGTTTTTCGTGTTACTAGAGTTAAAAAATATTTGTTACAAAAAATTAATTAAAAATTATAGTTGTTGCAGTAAGGACCACCATCAGTGGGCAAAATAGGTAGTAGCTTATAGGTAGATTAGCACTGCCAGGAGCTCCACTTGGGAAGTACGAAGGATCTAGCTCGCCTGCCTCCCCTGCCCCCCCTGTGATGTCTAGTCCCCGTGGCACAGGTGGTGCAGTTGACTGTGGTGGCGTGATTGGTTGCGGTGGTGGTGTGATCGGCACTGGCGGTGGCTTGATATCTTCTGGTGGTGGGGTGATTGATGGCAGCGATGGCGTTGGTATGACTGATACCGGTGGTCGCGCTGGCGGAGGAATGATTGGTACAGGTGACGGCGATGGCAGTGGCATTACCGGTACAGGTGACGGCGACGGCAATGGCATTACCGGTACAGGTGACGGCGACGGCAGCGGCATTACCGGTATAGGTGGTGGCGATGGCAATGGTAGGATTTGTACCGGCGGAGCGCTAGTTTTTGGTGAAGATGGTGTTGTTGGGGTCGTAGGCTCCGTTGTTGAACTCTTTAGACAAGCCACGTCGGGCACCGTAGTGCCGACATAAGTTCCGTCGGCATTGTTACAAGATGCAAAAATCTTCATATCCCCGACCGCTGGCACTATATTAATTTTATCCATCAAAATATTATGACAGCCACCAGAAACTTTATCACAGTTGAGTTTAATCGCCTCATCCGTCGCAGAAGTGCCTTCAAAATCGTTGTACGTCACATCCGCCACCACCACGGCCGACGACTGACTTTTGCAATTGTGTTCCCCATTGCAATAGTACTGATCAATAATGATAGGGTATTTGGCTCTGTCAAGTTTGATCCTCTCAAACGTGATGTTCCTCGCATACCCGGAGCCGCCCTGCCACGTTTTTATTCTCGCTCCGTTTGTAGTTCCAGTAAAACTACAATCTTTCACGTATATGTTGTCCACTTTATTACTAGCTCCATCTTCTCCTAAGCTTCCAACGCTGTTTGCAAAAGAGAATTAATCTATGAGAATCTGAATACTAATGAAGATTAGCATTTGATTATATTTATTTAACAATTAATGGAAAAGAAGGGAATGGAGACATACCTAATTCCATGGCCTGGTCCGCACGCAATGTTGGTGATGTAGAGAAAGGAACACCCGTCGCCAATGGCGATACAATCATCGCCTGTTCCGATAAACGAGTTGCGAATGGTGACATGGGTCGAGGAAGAGATGTCAATACCATCAGTGTTTGGACTGTCTTCCGGCGCATGTATGTTCAAATCTGAGACATCTGCATTGTCACAACTATTTATACCAATATGCGCTTGCGGGCTGTTCAGAAAAGTCAGTCCGCTGAGCTTAAGGTTTTGACAGTTGTGGAACTGCAATGCCTTATTTGGTTTGCAGTCGTTATTTGCCAAGAGTTTGCGCGATCTCGCATTGTACTGGCTGGTGCTCCACCACGCAGCCCCTTGGCCGTCGATTTTTCCTGAGCCGTCGAGCATTAGGTTTTCAATGTTTGAAAAACTTAGCCAGTCCCCCGAATCGCATTCTTTCCATGCACCACGCACAGGAGCCAATAAATTCCCTAGAATCTGAACGTGAACGCTCTTCGAGTTGCATGGACCTTCAAACTTTATACGTTGCAATAAGTACGTTTTCCCCTCCGGCACAATAAGTATCGGTATGTCATCCGTAGCGTCATTATTTCCTTCACATAAATCTTTCCACGCTTTAAAAAAAGCTTGGGAGTCGTCTGCCCGTCCATCTCCCATAGCACCGTATTTGGTTACGTCTAATATTTTGTGGCCTTGTCCGATGCCAATAAACAACGATGAAGCGAGAAAGAAAACTAAAATGCAAACGAGTGTGTTGGTGATCGACATTGTTTGCAAACAATTCAAATAATTATACAAACAAAAATCCAAAACTATTGTAGGCCTATTTGATTGAACTAATCTAGAGAATTAGAGAGAGAGGTCCGACCACAATTAGAGAGTAGAGAGAATGATTTAATTGTGAAGTGTGTCATTGTGTCTTTATTTATAGTAGTAGGATAGGCAAAAACCTTTCCCTTTAGGAATATAGGATACATTCCTATATCTACTTGGATTTACCTCTAAATAAAACTACAACAAAAACCAATTCCACCAAATTAAATTCTATTTATTTGAGCTGAGTTTCGGCTTTTGAAAGAAGAAAGAGATTCCTTGCACAAAAAGGTATCTGAATCATCTCAAAATTCGAGCCTGTATAATTTTTTATAGGAGTGGCATGTAATTCATTGTTATCATTTATGAACTGATCTTGAATTGGGAATTTCGTACTGATTCTGATACTTTGCAGGCCAAAAAAGAGAAAGGAAGAGAGGAGAAAGAGAAGCGGAAGGATAAAGATAGAAAGGAGAAGGAAAGAGAACGTGAAAAAGAAAGGGGAAAGAAACGACCTAAGAAGGATGAAACAGATAGTGAAAATGTAGACATAACTGATACACATGGCATAAAGAAGATCAGAAGAGGGAGAAAGACAAAGATAGAAAGCACCGGAAGCGGCATCAAAGTTCCGTCGATGATGTAGGTTCTGATAAGGAGGAGAAAGAGGAGTCTAAGAAACGCAGACATAGTAGTGACCGCAGAAGATCAAGAAAAGTACGTGAACTTATTTCGTAATATATTTGGCCAATAATTCCCTTAAGCTATTAATGAATGGAAAATGTATGATTATTTTCCTGTTGTTTTATGGTAGCACGATCTTGAAGATGGGGAGCTTGGTGAAGATGGGGAAATTAAGTAATCCCTGCTGATGTATCTTCATAGGAGGTGTGATTTTTGTGGCGTATCAGGGTCTAAACATGCCGAATATAACCAAGATATTTTGGTTAGCATATCTCATGGTTATACACGAAGGAAATTCCTATTGGCCCTGAAGCTCATCTGAAGAACGGATTCAAGCTTCCAGAGGAGAAGAGTACTGATCTAGCCAACTTGCCTAATTCCGTAAGAATTTTAACTTATTTTTCCTACTGTAATTTGGAAGCAAATGTTACTGGAAGGAAACCAAAATTGTTTAGGAAGGTGCGACACCAATTGAAAACAATTTAAATAATTATACAAACAAAAATCCAAAACCAGTTACACCAAATTAAATATTTATTTTGAATGAGGAACGAAGTCGTAAACTTTTCGCGCCAAGTTTATGCAATCCAACCAATGCAAGATCTCCAAACATTGGGTCCCTGTCGATCACGACATCTTCTGCGTAACGCCCATGTAGCTAGGGATCTTCCTCCGCACTCTGGCCACCACGCCGAGCTTAATCTCCGCAGCGAAGCGCAATGCGGTTTGGGCAATAAGTCGAACATCTGGCGGGCTGCGGCGGGAGAAGTAGGGGGAGGAGTGCTGGTTGAGCCAGAGAATGCAGCTGATGCAGCCGGTGCCGTCGTCTATGGTGAACCTGAGGAACTTGTTGGGTTTGAGGTCGCGAGACGTGACAGTGCCGACGGCCTCTGCGCGTGATAGGAGAGCGCCGTTGCAGGAGAAGGAGATTGAACCCGATGAAAATGAGGTTTGGGTGAGAGAGTTGAGGTCGAAGGCCAAGAGTTTTACGTGGGTGTTGTATAGCGGATGCTCCATCAGTTAGGAGGATGAGAAATTTGAGAAAAAGTGTGAATTGGGGGGATTATTAATTAAATATCGACTAATGTATTTATTTTATATTAATGACATGTTACATGGTTTGCAAAGTTGATATACCTAGCGCTATCATTTTTTTTTTTAATTTTCCACAAGCTATTGAGGGAGGGAAAAGTTACGGCAATTTACTTTTTCGGAGGTCAAAAAGACTCATAAAGGCATTTCAACCTCTGACTATCTCACTAGCAGTACAGTCTAATGATATCCCATAGGATATCTCAAGTTCGACTCATATTAAGTGATGAATTTAATACCCAATTATCGTTGCCATGTTATGTAGTTTAACCAAACTCTCATCCTAAAAGTGGAGTATAGAAGGAAGTTATTATATTTCAAAACTGTAACTGAAAACAGATCAAGAAAATGAATCCAATCAACACAAAAATCATTATACTAATCCACATTGATGCATAATCACAAGAGTTTGAAAGAACCATTCTGAATAGGAAAGAAACAAACATTACAACCTACGTAAATATTAATAATCGTCACTCTATAATCTTCAACATCCAACAAATTTGGGTACTGAATCTGGATTTTTGGCCCTCAAACTCTCGAGTTTCGACTTAAACTCACTATGGAAAGACATGAGCGATGTCTTCCGACAACCAAAAACAACACGGAACTGTTTGATTTGTTCTTCAAGATCTTTCCTTCTCAACAACTCATGATTCAGATCCTTCACAACATTTTCCTTTTGGTCGGTAACCAGAGCAAGTGTTTGAGATGATTCAGATACCTTTTTGTGCAAGGAATCTCTTTCTTCTTTCAAAAGCCGAAATTCAGCTTCCAAGGCATCGTATCTTTGCTTGGATTTCTCCAGAAGCTGGTTATTCGAATCCAGCTCTTCCTCCAGGCCGCGGTATCTTTCCTTGATAGTGTTGAGCTCATTGCTGAGTTTTTCCTCCCAACCGGCAGTTTCTCCTCCCCTTGCGTAGTCCTTTTATCACAAAAACTATAACTTATAACAAAACCACGCTAAATTGCTCTCGTGTCCGGGAAATATACCTAGACAGAACTTTTCACAAATCTTCAATAAAACACAACTTTTTTTTTCACTAAACAAACATTAAGTGAGCACTAAAGGGACACCAACACGCGTTTTATTGCCTGTTTATCGCCCCATTAGCAAAATAAAAAGTTTTGTCCATGTTTATCTCTCCTTTTTCTCAATCCTAACTAAATTTGCTTCTTTCATGATTTTGGTGGGTACAACTAAAACTTAGCATGTCAGAGCGCACACTGCACATATAAGTAAATTGCAAGAAAAACTCGGAAAAGAACACATATATAAGTGATTATAGCAGCTTGATTCATTCCTATGTATAGATGGCTTCTTAAAAGTGTTTTTTTTTTTTTTTGCTACATTAGAAGCAGTTGATCCTATTCTTGAATCCTAATACTTTATGCATCAACATTGTTTGGAAACGTGTAAGAAATCTTCAACAGCAAGGCAGAGAATAAAATTATAACTAATGGAAAACATCTTTTTAGTTGTGACCAGGCAGCTACCTTGTATTTACTGCTGCATGGCGAATTCCTCACTTGTTCATTCTCAACACTTGATGGCTCTGATGATACCAATAATTTAACAGCGCTGTTCAACCTCTCAGAGAGCACTTTGTGCTGTTCTTGGATTAGAGAACTACTCGCAAAGAATGATCTTTGGCCATCATCAAATGCCTCTGAGAAATGGGTTTCGAGAGTTGTAAAGATGTTTGTGCCAATTTCACTTATGCTTGACAGCAATGTTGCCACCGAAGATTTTTCATCAGATATAAAGCTCTGTCCGGATAACTATACTGTTACAAAATCAATAACACCAAATGAACTTTCGAGTGCCCGATTTGAAAACAGCAATTACCTGAGTCTTTGATAACACATCCACATAAAAGTCTTTGCAAGTTGCTGCACATTCAGAAAGCCTATGAGGGATTTCTCGAATAAGCTTTGCTTCTTTTTGTAGTTCAGATATATCCCGAACTAATTGATCGTTCAGTGCAGCTTGTTCAGCATGTTTCCTCTACACAGATAATAAAAAGACAGAAATCCATAAATGTAGCCAGAAGTATAATTTATCCATTTTCACTCAAAAGTAGGATTCTACAATTTCCAAGAACAGTTATGCGATAAACTAACCTTGAGATCATCTCTCTCTCCAACGGCAAGTTCTAGTTGTCTCTTCAAATTCTGGACATCCTGCTTGTAGTTCTCAGTTGAGCCCTGGAAAAATTTGATGAGATAAGTGAAAACAACATAGAAATTAAGCAAAATGCAGCACGAGAAAATAGGACGAGGATAATAGCTTCTCACTTTCCTGATGGAATAAATAGAAAAACAAAGAAAATCAGGAAAGTGGAAGAAAAATAGATGAAGATTAGACTCACAGGAACTTCGTCACTTGGCGGAAAGGATTGAACTTTTCTTGCAGGAGTCATTTGAAGGGAATCAAGGTCAGCTATGAAACCTTTGTTCATTTTCAACCATGTGTCTTCATCAACCACATTGCTAAAAGCATCTGGAAGAGGGCTAAAACTGGGCAATGGTGAGTAATTTGAACGCTTGACAATGAAGGAATGGGTAGCTGCCTTGAAATTTGATGGGGTACTGAAGATATCTCCTTGAGATTTACTACTGCTGTCACTACTGTCTTCCTTAAGGCTGTGTGTCCCAGAATCCTGTGCCTATACATAGATTTAAGGATATCAGAACCTCAGACACAGACATGCACTACAAACAAAATGAAACATGAAAGATACAATATGTATGACTCCGCATTTAGACAACATATAACAAAGCTTAAGAGTTATACCTGACTAGAACTTCTTTCGAAGTCTGAAATAGTAGAAAGACCACTGAGATTGTCAGTTTTCATCTGTTGATCCCTGATGCATTGTTCCTGTTGTTTATGTGATTTCCGCTGCTCTTCCAGTTCCATTTCCAGCTTCTCACGCTCTAGTTCATACTGAACCATAGAAAGGTTAGCAGAAGTTGACAAAATGGAAATAAATATACACAAGTTAGAAGCTAAGTTGGTAGGTACGAAAAGTTGGTGAGGAAAACGCCATACCTGTAGTAAGTCATTTCTTAACTTCAATATTTCTTGCTCCAGCACCCCGGCATGTGATCCCTGATAATTTTGTGTATTTCAAGACATGACATTTATGAGAGTGTGTTTCTAATCTTTTTGTGCAAAATAATATGAGATGATTTGTACCTGAAGTTTCATACGAAGATCTTCTATCTCTTGTTTTTGCCGCTTCAGTAAGGCTGCGTCTGTCAAAATCTGCGATAGATTTGACCATTAATGATGCGCTTAAAAGTTTCCTGTATGAGATGCTATAGTCCTAAACTAATTAGCACAACAAAGTGTTAAACATACTACTCAAGAAGAAACATACCTCATTCACTTGAGCACAATTAGTGATGCACTTAGCTCTGCTAGCAAATTGAAGGGTTCCCTTTGTTTCCTCAATGTGTACCTAAATGCCTCGATAACATATTATAGTTATAATATATATACATTAATTATGCTGCAAAACTAAATTATATTACCATAAGAGCAAATTATAGGGTACCTCTTCTGGTGCTATAGTGCATATAATTGAAGTTTTGGCATTGCCTCCAAGGGCAGGTTGAAGTATACGGGTAAGCTTACTATCACGATAAGGGATGTGACCCCTGTACAGAAGTTATCATTAGAAAAAATTGTTTACATTCAGCAAGAATGATTTACTAAAAACAAAATAAGTACCTGTTTTTTGCGCCATCACTAAGTTTGTTAATTACATTACCAAGAATCATTAAGCTCTTGTTTATGTACTTTCCTTCCTTCAGACGTACTCCGCCAGCTCCAGTTTTAGCAATTCTTTCAGAACCAGCTAAATCTACCAAATTCTGCACCCATAAATTAAAATTTAAAGACAAACACTCACAGGGTCGGGAAGTAAATAATTCGGATATTGTAAAGCATAAGAGAACAAATCATCTGGAACTGTTCTGTCAACTTTGATAGAGAATGGCTGAAAGAATACGAACCAAGACAGAGACACGAATAGCATCAGCACTTGAACTAGTGTCCTTCGCATGGCTTTCAATTACCTAAACTCATAGGATACAGGTACCACTAGTTAGGGGGGTACATCCAATATTTAATTGAAGCTGTAGATAGAAAAGTATAATATTGACATACCATTCTGAATATTGTGTGAGATCTACTACTCCGAGCATTCATGTTTGTTTCTCCAAAGTGCCTATTAACTGTAAGAAACATTTTGCCAGAGACAGGTTAATGACAAACATTCAACTGAAGGAGCACACAAGAACAGAAAACCGTGTTCTTCAAGTTTTGGTTTCAAAGTGCAAACCTTCTCCAGATTCAATGAGCTTCAACACCTGTTCAGCATTACTGACAATTTCCTCCCTGAGGCCAGCAACAAATATGCCACGCTGAACACGAAAAAATCAGTTAATTCAGTTCACTTAAAAGAAGCTAACTAAATTTGTCAAAAGGGTCAGTAGCCAACCTCCAAACTCTCATGAATCTGCAATTTCTGATTCTCTACTGCAAAAAGGTCGTTAATTTCCTCATTGTACAATTCCATGTAGGATACTCGAATCAGAAACTCCCGGTGTGACATCTAGAAACATAAATAGCAACCAATTCAACACAGTAATTCAATACAGCGAGCAACAAATTTCAAATTAAGAAAGCACATATGGGTCATTACCATCTGGATTCTGTCAAAAACATCTCTAACGGCTCGATGAATGATACCTGGATCTGTTTTGGAACCATTCATGGTGAAAGTCTTCCCACTGCTAGTCTGTCCATAAGCAAACGCAGTTCCTACAAACGTCAACACAAACATCAAATTAAACGCAAAACACTATCGAAATGGAGCAAATAAAGATTCAATTTTTTCACATACCATTAAATCCTTCGACTACGGCATGAATAATGTCCTTGGTGAGCAGCTCATAAACCCTAGAATTCGTACAATCTTCATCGAACACATG